CCCCCCCCCCCCCTGCCCGAGTCTAAACTCCAGCCACCTCCTCCTACCATCTTCCCCCACCCCTAACCATTGTCATGGCCTTGAAGCCTTGGCCATGGAAGCCTTTCCGTCCTAGGCTTCTCTCCCATCCCTCAGACTCTCTTCCTGATCTTTTATTCCTACACCAGCTAGCTGGACCTTATCTTAACATTTCTTACAAACACTCTCTTGTGCCCTTGACATGAAACAAAACCCTGGTCCTGGACCAGGCTTACCTCCTACCTCCCTTTTCTGTTCTTACACACAGGAGGGGTTTCCTGCCAGAACAATCGTAACGTCATGGACAGATCCACCACGACGACAGGACTGTGACTGGCTCATGGGTTAGAGGCTCATTACAACCCAGGCCCTGGTCTGCCAGCTTTCTCTTCTATGTTTGTCTCTGCTTCTAAATATTTTTTGTTCTTAGCGTTCTTCCTATTTTCTGCCCCCCTCAAACCTGAGCAACTTGGTCACCTACTTAGTTCAAAATTGAGGCCTTCTGGCAGGATCTGGGTTTGTGTCCCATCCTGTAACCTTATACATACCCTTATCTTCTTTCTACCTGTTGGGGCCTTGAGGAGGTTCTCCTTCCTCAGGTGGACCTAGGAACCCGACCTATCACTCTGATGCTTTCCTCTTAGCCAGTAAACATGCTCTGCTGCATCCATCCTTTTCTGGCCTTAAAGACTTGTATAAGCTTTCCTTTTGAAGAATGCATTTGTAAGGCTATGACGTTCCCTCTTCCTTCCACCACTAATACCTGCTCTCCATTCCCCAAAGGGATCTACTATTCATCCAGTGTATACACTTCCAGATATGTCTATGCATTCACACAAGTACCTGTAGAAGAAAAAGTATTGATTATAACCATTTGCTTAAAAGCTGTCATGCTGTATGTCTTCATTTGCAGTGTATTTTGAGTGAACTTCTGCATATAGGGCCATAAGTCATATCTTGTTTAATTGTTGCATGTCATTTCTCACGATGTATAGAAGTTCAGCCATTCCTCTGCTGAGTGTCACTTTGGTTTCCAGTTTATAAGGGAAAACAGAACTGCAGTGAATAGCCTTGTCTCCATGTCCTTGTGCAGCTAGATTTTTTTTTAAAGAGTAGAAGCTACAGTAGTCCCCCCTTATCTGCAGGGGATACATTCCAAAACCCTCAGGAGATGCCTGAAACTGTAGATAGTACCAAATCCTTTATATACTGTTTCTTCCTATACATACATACCTATGATAAAGTTTAATTTATAAATTAAGCACAGTGAGAGATTAACAACAATAATAAAATAGAACAATTATAACATTATACTGTTCACAATTTCATGGACAGAAGATTCGTTCTTACTGTGGATTGTAGCAACCTCAGCATATGATTTTTAAGTTGAGAACTTTAACACTTTCACTTAAAGGAAGCGCTTTAGTTTCTCTTTGGTATATCTGAATTGCCAGAGTCACTACTCTTGTACTTTAGGGCATTATGAAGTAAAATAAGGGTTCCTTGAACCCAAGCACTGCGATACCATGACAGTCTGATGACCGAGACGGCTACTAAATAATGGGCGGGCAGTGTGGACGCGCTAGACAGAGAGATGGTTCACATCCTGAGCAGGACGACTTGAGAGTCCATCACTCAGATGGCATGCAATTTAAAACTTCCACATTGTTTATTTCTGGAATTTTCCACTTAATATTTTCAGACTGCGGCAGACCACAGGTAACTGAAACCGTGGAAAATGAACCTGCAGATATGGGGGGAGGGACTATTGTAATAAGAATTGCTGGGTGCTAGGGTATGCACTGCACATTAAGCTTTCGTGGGCTTTTGTGAATGGCCCTGTGAATCCACTTTCTAGCTGTCTACTGCTTTCTTTTTCCTTTCTACCTACTCTTTGATGACAACTTTTACATGATGTTCCCTGCCCTATTCCCTCATGAGCCCCTGCCATCCGGCCCCTGCCGCCACCATCACGGAACTTGCTTTGACAAAGCCCTGAGACTGTATCTGTGGACCCAGTACATAGGTCGTCCTTCTGTCTCTCCCAGACCTTCTTGGCCCCATCCATAATTTTTCCACTCTCACTGAAATGTGCTTAGATTTTATTCTGTGGATGTCTTTTTCCATCTCCTTAAATGTCTCCCCCTCTTCCCCTGTCCCCTCTGCCTTCAGGTTCTGTCCTGAACCTCCCACGTGCCCTCATGTTCTGGTGGCCTTGACTACTTCGTCTCTGCTCTGAAGACGTCCAACCCTATATCCCAGTGGCGCCTGCAGGCTGATGAACCCCTAAAAGCCCTCTTCTGGATGTCCCACAGCCACCTTGTGCTGGACGTCCAAACCTAACGCTCTCCCTTCCCCCAACTCTTCTCCCTTCTCAATCTTATCTGGTGATACTACTGGGTACCCTGTCACCCAAGCTGGAAGGACACAAGGGTGGCAGCCAGCAGACCATGTAGGAAGATATTACCACCATCCTGGCATGAGGTGTTGGCGGCTCAGACAAGGGCGATGGCGAGAATGGCTGAAAGTAGACCTGGGATTTGTGGTGGAACAGATAGGAAGTGAAGGCTGGGTAGGCATGGGAGGTGAAGACATAGTGGGCTGCATGCTGTTCCCAGAATGCTCGCCTTTTCCTCATTCCACGCTTCTGTATTAAAAGCCAGCTCGTCCTTGGAACCCTGGTTCAAAGGGCTCCCCTTACTTCTTCATCTGCACTTCTGCAGAACCTCTCTACCTTGACATTGTCTGAAGTCTGCTTATAGAGAATGGTCTGCGTCTGTCTCATCTTCCTGCTGGAATTCAAACTTCATGAAAACATGAAGTTTATGGGGGTATGCCCCCCCCCCAACCAGATTGCCATGCACATAGGAGAATGGGGAAGGGCTTGACTGAGCAGTGAGCCTCCAGCCCTGCTCTCTCCAGCCGGGCCTGTGGCCAGTGGGTAGGGTGGAGCTACTCTGCCTTCCCCTCCATCCGGGGCCAGTTTGGTTATCAGAAATGACAGGTAGATGTCACTAAAGAGTGGGCTTCAAGTCTTGATTCTGTTCTTTACCAGCTGCATGTCCTTGGTCATGTTCCTTAACCTCGACATGCCTCTTTCCTTTCTTTTCTGCCTCTCAGAACATTGTCAAGGATGAAATGATGGTTGGAGCCTGGTGCTGTAACACCAACATCCAGGGTTCGATTCCTATATTGGCCAGCTGCCAAAAAGGGGGGGGGGATGTTTGTAAAGACATTTCTACAAACTTTATTATTATTATTTTTTTTTTTCAGAAGATGACCGGTAAGGGGATCTTAACCCTTGACTTGGTGTTGTCAGCACCATGCTCAGCCAGCGAGCTAACCCGCCATCCCTATATGGGATTCGAACCGGTGGCCTTGGTGTTATCAGCACCACACTCTCCTGAGTGAGCCATGGGCCGGCCCTTTTTCTACAAACTTTAAAAAGGATTTTACTTTATGCCAGGTCCCCTTTTTTTTTTTTTTTTTTGTCTTTTTTGTGACCAATAAGGGGATCGCAACCCTTGGCTTGGTGTCACCCACACCGCGCTCAGCCAGTGAGTGCACCGGCCACCCCTATATAGGATCCGAACCCGCAGTGGGAGTGTCGCTGCGCACCCAAGCCCTGCACTCTCCCGAGTGCGCCTTGGGGCTGGCCCGGTCCCCCTTCCTAATGGAAGGATATATCATGACTGGAGCACAATGGCTATCTGATGACCATGTGGCAACCTTGGAAACAAAGCTACCTGCTTAAAACTTGCCTGTTACAGCAGTTTATACCTTCCCACATCCTTATACTTCCTAGAGAGCCCAATGCACAGTAGGCCACAAAATACCCATTTATTCAGCTTCTCAGGTGTTTTCCCACATCTTCCACCAAGCCCTCTACCCACTTTCCCTCTTAGTAGATTACTTAGTAGCTCTGAACAACTCTTAAGCACTTCTGGAGAGTGTATCCTTGGCTCATCAGCAATGTCATCTTTTTTTTTTTTTTAAAGATGACCGGTAAGGGGATCTTAACCCTTGGCTTGGTATTGTCAGCACCACACTCTGAGTGAGCCACAGGCCGGCCCAGCAATGTCATCTTTTACTTGGTCAACTCCACCCCTTAGTTTTTCAGACCAGATGGCCTTGGGACCACCCCTCCTTTGTACATTCCACCTACGGTCTTGTTCTGGGACATGTGAAGATTGACACTGTGGACTCTGACCTGCAGAGGATCACAGCACTGGGGTCACAGCACTGAATGTCCCATGACCCCCTTGCCTCCCCTCCTAGGACATCACGCCCCTGCAGGTGGTTCTGCCCAACACCGCCCTCCATCTCAAGGCATTGCTGGATTTTGAGGACAAGGATGGAGACAAAGTGGTGGCAGGAGACGAGTGGCTCTTTGAAGGACCTGGTAAGTTATCTCTCTGTCAGGCCTGAGTCAGGGTCAGGGGCTTCCTGCCTTCCCACCATAGCCCTGGTATCTTCTGCCCCCTCAGCCTCTACTTGTTCTTCTCTTCCCAGGCACATACATCCCCCAGAAAGAGGTGGAAGTCGTGGAGATCATTCAGGCCACGGTCATCAGGCAGAACCAGGCCCTGCGGCTCAGGGCCCGCAAGGAGTGCCGGGACCGGGACGGCAAGGAGAGGGTGACAGGTGGAGTTTCCAAGGGGCACTGATAGTGGGTGGGCAGGAGGACCCCCAGCTGCCCAGACTGCAGGGGAAATTGGGGAAGGTGGGAGAAAGCCATGTGTGACCAAGGAAAAGGCGCTTTCCTGGTATCTCCTGAAAGCTGTTGTGGGCTGCCCACCACTTCCACTAGCCCACTTTCATGCTGGCTCTGCCCGGTCCCAATCACGTGGTTGTGACTGTGGCTTTTCCCTCCCCCACCTTACCCATGAGCTGCGGGCAGTGGCCATGTCTTATCAGCTTCTAGATCAACAAAGCAGATATTCATATACAGTGAGTGAATTCAGTGTTTACTCTGTGCCAGGTATGGTTCGAAATGCTTTATAAATAGGGGCTGGCTGGTAAGCTCCACTGGTTAGAACACAGTGCGATATCACCAAGGTCCAGGTTTAATCCCTGTGATAGCCAATCACAAAAAAAAAAAAAAAAAAAAAAAA